TAATAAAGTAATTTAAAGTATGTGAGATAAATTAAGAAACTTTTGTGTGAATTTTTTAAAATCGGGTTCATAACAATTATGGTTAGTTAGTTCGGATGCTTATGTAGAAGTCCAGTTTAAAAAAATTCATATGATTTTTATTTTATTTTATTACTGATATATGTAGTAATTTTTATTTTATTTTGTCATAATTCAGGAGATTCCGTCAATTCAGTCTAATCAGTTAGATTTAATTCATTACATTAGAATCAGACAATTCAACTAATTTTAGTATTATCAAATGGTTTATATCGGATCAAGTTTATTTTGCTTTTGATTCGCATTAAGAACCCGTTTGGTAACATCAAAATCGGCTAATTCTGCTGAAACTTATGAAGTTTTGACTGAAGTGGCTGTATTGGCTGATTTTGCTGATTTATGTAAAATTATATTTAAAATATATTTATTAATTAAATAAAGAAAATTATATATAATACATAGATAAAATGATCTCCTACAGTAACTTCAGTCAATACATTCATAAAAGTAACCCTAACCATACATTCTTTTTTATTATTACACAATTCAACGCGCGAAATTAAAATTTACGTGTTTGATAAAAAAGTTGACTGATAAACCTGATAATCCAAAAAATGTGGTTACCAAATGAGCTCAAAATTATACTACATATATGATTCCGAAAAAATCAATTTTATAATTATCGAAATTTTGTGCTACCCGTGCATCACACGGGCTTGAAAACTAGTATTCTAATATACGTACATCGATACATGCCACATACGAAGCATTATACTCCGTACTTAATTTAAAAGATACTAGTAATTAATGGAAATCTCCGTACTTAATTTAAAAGATACTAGTAATTAATGGAAATCATTATTGTGCGTGCCTATAGTCTATACTCTAGACATATTCCGTATCATCTAACGTAAGCATGTACGTTAGATGATTATTTTTCGGCGTACCTTTGTGCCTTGGGAATTTAGGATGCTAATAATATACGGAATAATACGGAGTAATAGAGTCATTCTAGGTGTACCCATTTTGGATATCTCATTTCTATATCACCATTTGTGTGTTTTACAAAAGCTCATTTCATAATTTAATTGCCCAATTTTTATGAATTGTTTTTGTGAACCACATAAATAGGGGTACAAATGGGGTACCCAAAAATGTGGTACCTCTAGAATTTTTCAACATAATATTCTCTCTCTTATGGGGCGGATTCAAAATTTCTAATTAAGGAAGGTGAAAATTTTCATTATTGTGACATCCACCAATCTTTTTAAATAACATTTACATTGTTTAACCACATAAATTTTACGGAGTATTGAAATAAAAAATTGCATTTTGAATTGCAATTTTTGTCTGTTGTGAGTCATGAATAATTTTATTAATATATATGCTAATTCATATATGTGGTGCATATTATATTTGTATTGATTCTAAAATAAGTTAAGCTTTACTACAATAAGTTATTTTTAGAAAATAAGAAATAAATGAAATGTGCGTCAACAAACATTTATATTTTATATTATATTCACTTCACATGAATATATGATCTAAAAATGTGTCTGGTATTTAATATGGAGTATCATTTAATATTTTATAAAATCGAGTACTAATTATCTAATAATGATAATTAAACATTATAAAACTAAGAATTTTTATATAGTAAGTATCATAAGTGTTGGTCCAAAATAGGACGCTCGTAGGCTTTTAGGAAAGCTACGTAAGAACACTCAAGCAGAAATCAGGAAAGTAATACGAATAAGGAAAGTAGCTAGAGAGTTTGATAGCCAGAAATAACTTGTAGAAAATCGCTTCCTCTAATCTGAATTACAACATGCCTTTTTATAGACGTATACAAATCGTAACTTCTATTCACTAATAATGACTAATTAATTACAACATTAATACAAAGTTAAATACATAATTAAACAACGCATTAATTGTTTGACCGTTACTTTTCCTGGCTGGCAGGTCGGTCGGTCGGACTGGCAGGCTCCCCGTTGGGGTGGTAGGCAGGCTCCAGGTTGTGGACCTGGATCCACGGGTCCAAGTTCGGGGCTTGGGCCGATTAGGCTCTCGGCCTAGTCCCATAACTCCATCAATAAGTCTTAAATAATGAGTTATTCTATGTATTTTAGATGTTTTTTCTTTTACATTTCCAATCAAATATTACATAATGCAAAGCTATATACTATCAATATTAATTTTGAAAATGAAAAGTTAAGGGATGTGAATACATATATACTTGTACTAATTAAAGTATGAAAGATTTATGAAAATATAACATACTCTGTATATAGTAGAAAAATTTGAAAGTCCAAGGGGGCGTCTTGTTCCCCATATTCCGTACAAACATTCCCACAACCCATATATCGTGCGGTACTATGAGCACTTCATAACCGGTGACATTTTTGTAATTTAACTAAAAATCACGGTTTCCGCTAAATGAACATTAATTCACTTTTCGTACAACATCACGCGGAAGTTTGTCTCTCCTTCTTTCAGACTCCCTACTCACCTTTATCAGCCTAGTTCCATGGCTTTGCACTTGACAGTGAGTGTGCTCATAATTACTAAAGTAATTCATGTTTTTTATTCAACATTTTTTTAGTTATTTCAAAAATAATTATAATTCATGTTTCACATCTCAGACACGGGCTTTGCAGTGAATACATGAGCGAGCGACTGCCACAGTGAGTGATACGCATGACGTGGACACGTACGACTAGGTTCTGACGGGCATTGCTTCCTTGTGTTCGGATGTGATGGGGCGAGTGGACTATGACCATCTTATACATATGACCCCCTCTCAGGATTCTATGGCATCAACATCTACATCAGCAGCAACTTCTACATCTCAGATTCAGCGTGACAGAGTTGTTCTTCAATCATGACAGTGCGCGATGTAGACGTATGCGTCAACAACCACATCTCCATGACCAAGACGATCAAGAAGACCATGAAACTTGTAGTCTATCTCTATGTAACACTTGAGATTTAATTTAAATGGATTAATAGTATTAATCATACCTACAAGGTGCACCTCCGGCCTTTTAAGGGAGCTCATCAGCTAAGAACTTCAAAGTTAAGTGTGCTTGCACGGGAGTAGTCTTGGGATGGGTGACCCCCGAGGAAGTTTTTCAGGGCGCGCACGAGTGAGGACAAAGTGCGCGTAAAAGACTAGTGGCGGTTTGTGAGGACAATACTAGAGGTCTGAAGTAACTACCTTGGGTCCTGCGGGGCCGGGGTGTTACACTCTATTATTGGACTTATTCATGTACAACGAAAGTTGTAGAAACACTTTACTTTTTTACGTATTTTTGCTGCAAACTATTGGATATTGTGTTATTAGTACTTATATATTCTTTTGTTTATGATGTGTTGATGTGTTTGGCTATGAATATTCGATGTTTGTACTGTGTTATGAATATTGGATGTCTGTTATGAATATTGGATGTCTGTACTGTGTTTTACTGGTTATGAATCTTCTGTTTTGTATGTTATTTGTATCTGGTATGTATCTGGTGTTTTGTATGTTTTGTTAGCAGGTGTTTTATATGTTTTGTAATGGTGTGTATCTGGTTGTTTGTGGGTTTACTGGTTTTGCAGGTGCAGGGGGAAGTCGCCAAACCGTTTGGCGACTTATATGTCGCCAAACCGGATGGCGACTTATAAGAGCATCTCCAATGGTAAAATGTGCACGGTGCACATAAATATGTGGCATAAATATTTATGTGGCATGACAAATAGCCACAAAAATATTAATAAATAAATTCTTTATCTCCTTATTTGAATGATTTTATACAGTTTTGGTAAGTTTTTCTCTACAATGTCAAGGAGACCGTCTAGATGTTGACATTGTTATTGACATTGCAGGGAAAAACTTACCAAAATTGTATAAAATCATTCAAATAAGGAGAGAGATAATTTATTTGCTAATATTTATGTGGCCATCACTCATGCCACATGTGCACCGTGCACATTATAGCATTGGAGATGCTCTAAGTCGCCAAACCGTTTGGCGACTTTCCCCAACCCGGGTTAAGTCCAACAGTTTATTGGTAAATACTTTTAACCCAGCATTATTCGGTAAATACTTAATTAATTCGCGTTAATTCTGAAAAAAAAAACTCAAAACCCCTACCAATTTTGGGAAATCTCTGCCAAAAATCCATGTCAATCCCGTGTTTTGTGTAGGGACACGTTCAAAGTGTCCCTAGGAATAATGCTAGGAATTTCTTTTTGACACTCATAGATGTATGTTAGTTTTGCACTTTCGCTATCACATAATGTGTCATTGAATTGATGAATCACCAAACAAATTTGTTTTGTGTGTCATGAAAAAATAAAGATGACACATAACTGTCAAGAAAATCCGTGTTAATTTATTTGAAGCCATTATGAGGTTATTTTAATTGATTACTCTATAACATGCTTATATTAGTAATAAAAATGTGGGATAGTAAACACTTCTTTCATAGAGAAACTTGCATCTCACTTAAAAATATTTGAAAAACTTCAATGAAGTAAAGTTTACAATGCAAGAAAAGTTAGAACTTACGCCATAAATTAAAGTTATTTCCAGAAACTAGACACTCCTTTCATTGATAATATTATATGAACTCAATAAAAAAATCCAATTTTTCCTTGTCACACAAAAGTGTCATTATATACAAGCTATATTTTGACACTTTAATATGTGATAATAATAATGTGTGTCATCAAATGTAACATTTTTTTGTAGTACACACACTTCATCTCAATCAAATTAGTTTGTAATTTGAGACTTAAGATTTGAGGATAGAGTTAAATCATCTATGGAGATACTATATACTTAAATCAGTTTAATTATTAAAATTTATATATTGGAATATTGCATTGGAAGTTTATAAAGTCGCAAAATCCATATTTATATATAATAAAAATGATATCCTAAATAAAGAAATGTAATAAATAATTTTGATCAAGAAATAGACTTTGCATATCAATTTGGCACAAGGAAGTAAAGCTTTTATTTATGAACACAGTGGGTGATGAACAGCAAAGATACAGAAAAGACGAGTCTCTCATCGAACATACTTATTAGTCATACTATACAAACCTAAACATGTGTAAATACGTTTTAAGCAATCAACCCCAACAAACGAGATTGTAGCTCCATTAAAGCTTATGTATAATAAGGGGAGCACCATACTTTGACTGAGTGGTCACGCTAGTAAATGGAGCATGAGCATAAGAAGGAGACAATTCAAAGGAAAAGCGTTGTAGAATCATTGCCATTGCCATTTTAACTTCTAACAAAGCAAAATTTTGGCCAATGCATACACGAGGCCCTCCACCAAATGGGAAGAAAGCGTGTTTTCCATTTGTTGCCTTCATTATACCATCGCTGTACCTATCTGGTTTGAACTTCGTAGCTTCTGCACCCCATACCTCTGTATCAAGATGTACCAAAAGTATGGGTAATGACAACATCACCCCTGGAGGCAAAGTCATATCTCCAAGTTTTATCTCCTCAACTGTTTGTCTAGTCAAGTTAGGTACTGGCGGGTATAGTCTCAAAGACTCGTATAAAACCATGGTCACCTGAAACAAAGAGCACTAGCTACTGTCAACACTACAATAAAACTTGAAATATGGTGTATTAGCTAGTAATTAATAACTACTTACAATTTTGAGATCATTTAATCCTTCAAAATGCGGCTTCTTATCCCGACCAAAAACTTGCAGCACCTCTTCTCTAGCTTGAGCTTGCCAATATTGAAATTTGCTAAGTAAAATCATAGTCCAGAGGAGTAACACAGCGACAGTTTCTTGCCCTGCAAAATAGAAAACCTTACACTCCTCAATGACTTCTTCAATGCTCATCCCAGCCTTCTTGTCCCCATGTTTTTTGATCTCTTGCAAGTTAGATTGAAGTAATATGCCTAGTAGATCATCATTTTTTGTCTCTCCTGCCGCCATGGCCTTCAGCCTTTTCTCTATAATGGTACAAACATATGCTTTCACTTCATTCTTAATGTCATGCATTCTCCTATTCCTCTTTGTTGGCACAAATCTACATGACATGAAATAAATTCACAAGTTCACCAAGTGAAGAGACACACAATCTTATGTTATCATGATATCCATAACGTAGAGTTTTCTATTTATTCTCAAATAACCTCCATCCGGGTACATAAACTTGGCGCAAAGTGTCTGTGACGTGCATTGCTTGTTCTGTTTGGAGCTCAAATATCTTCCTTCCATCTTCGTAGCTGCTCCCGAATGCGGCTCGAGATATGACATCGCTTGCCATGGTTTGAAGGTCTGGCCACACGTCCACCTCACAATAGTCTTCTCGCGAGGCTCTCCCTTCCCATTTGCTCACCATTTCATAACAACTTATCATGAATGCTGGTTCCATTAGCTGTTTGATGTAGTGATAGCGAAAGATGTTTAAAATATACCAAGTGAATTGTGAAAGCTTAGAGCTACATTGTTAGATTTAACACACATACATTCATCTCACTAACCTTTAGCTTCTCGGAAAAGAAAGCGGGATTGAGTAACCTTCTATGCATTTTCCACTTATCGTTCTCGCAGAGGAATATTCCACTGACCAGATTCCTTAGTACTGGGCTGATGTTAGGCCTATGATAGATATAATTTTTATTTAATACCTCTTTAATCAAGTCAGGGTGCATGATGAGCACCATAGGAGTTGGACCCATCCACAAATAGCAATTTTTACCTGCTTGCATGAATGCATATAATTCAATCAATTATTTGTTCTCAACAATGACTAGAAGAGTTCAAATAGGAGTAAGAATAATAGCAAAGTTCAAATAGGAGTAAGATCAGAATAATAGCAAAGTTCAAAAGTAGCCAGGAACCTGGAAGTATATGTTAATTTAGAATTTCTAAAATCTATTGTTTTTCTAAAATCTATTGTTGTCATTCTTTTGATTGGCTAAGCTAACAAAAGCTGCTTCCCTTTACTTGGATAAAATGTCCTATAAAAAAAAGTAGGGGAAAATGGCTATATGACCATAAAAAATAGGTCCAGTAAAGTTAGTAGCACCTATTTTATTTAATGAAGTATATAACACTTTTATTATTAATATAAAGCCGGAACACTTTTGCTAAGTACTCCGTATCTATCTTCCATTCCTAATTATAGTTAGTTACAGTCATATACCAGGACGGAAAACATATTAAACTTTGTATTGCATTGCAAATAAATTTTCTATGTTCAAGTTTGGAGAATGGCGTAGAAACAACCAGATGTCTCTTTTATTACTATCCTAGATTCCAAAAGAAAGATACTTGTAACTTTTTCAAAGCACTATAACTCCATTTATTGCCAGAATTCAAGTTAATTGCGCAGTTAAACAACGCAGTTAACTGCGCAATATACTTTTTCAACCAAATGATTTTTTGAAGATAACTGCGCAGTTAAACAACGCAGTACATTTCGGAAAATCATTTGACTGCCTTCCCGATTTAATTTTTAGCTGAAATTTGATATGGGTAAACTAGACTTAATGAAGAAGATGCTCAAAAAATTTCATCAACAAATTCCACCGGGAACCACCCCAATTGGCGACGGCCGGGCAGAACCTTCTATATAAGGGGCTAATTGAACACTTTAAGTTAGTTCATGTACCTATTCGACTCTTTAGCCTAATTTTTTCAAATAGCACTATAACTCCACTTTTATGAATTTATCATCGATCAAGTATATTAAGGAGTATATATTTTTGTGTTATACCTTTTTCTAATCATGAGTATAGAAGATCGTAGCCCCAGGCTAGAGACAATAGTCCAAATATTAAAGCAAATCCATTCCAAATTTCAATATTATTTGAGTATGAGATCGAATACGACGACCTTGTTTCTAGGGTTATGGGTTATGTCGTTACTTATATGAAAATCAGAATTATGAGTCAATCGTGCCTTCTCCATAGAGGTGTGATCTGTAATGGAAGAAAGCAACGGATTTAGCGCGGTAGTTAGAGAGAAGAAACTGCCGTAAGGACTCTAACGTGACCGTGAATTTCCTTAAAGGCTATTTAGCTTATTTTTACTAACTTATGATATTAACTTAAAGTTACTTATTAAAGTGCGTACATACACCCAATTTTCTCAAAAAAGTATGCATTTTGACTACATAACTAATTCAGTCCATTAAAACAAACAAAACGAATCGAATCATATACACCACTACTATGATTTATTTGCTATCGACTGATTTTGAATAGAGTGATGTTCCCCGATTTGTATATGTCTCTACAAGCTAGACCTCACACAACTCTCTATTGGATAGTTAATTACTCGGTTTGATGAAATATTTTGAGTATGTTTTTCATCAATTGTAGATTGCGTTTACGAAATTTCAGTTAAATAAATTATTGAAAAACTGCGCAAAACTATATACTACGGGTACATAAAAGCGCAGTGTTTTTCAATAATTAATTTAACTGACATCCTGAATGAATTTTAAATTGAAATTTTATGGACATAATATATACTTCGTACTTCGTAAAGAATCTAACATACTTAAAATGTTTCATCAAACAATTCCCCTAAAAAGGAATTATATATGTTAAGACCCGTGGTTTCATCAAACAATTCCCCTAATAGGAGGAGTAGCCCAAAGCCTTATATAGTACTATTATTTTATTATTTTATAGCTTTCTCGGTGTGAGACAAATACTTTAAGAAAATTTAGTTAATTTCTTAATTAATTGAGAAAATGAAAAGCATTATTATCCGTATAGTAGTACGTGTCATACGTACGGACGTACCGTATTTGTTGATGGTTTGAATGAAATCTGGAAGGACTCTGGCGGCCGTGTCATCGTCGGAGGGACTCATGGGCTCGGAGTTGGCGGCGTCACTTATCATTCTGTAACTTTCACTACAAGAATTCAGGAAAATTGTGGCAAAATTTAGTGACCGAATGCAATCGCACAGCAATCTATGACGGAAACTAAAGACGGATATGAATCTACCACTAATGCGTGTCAAAAATACTCTGTCGCAATTTAGTGACAGAATTCAATGACGGGTCACTCTTAGACAGTAATTTGTGGCGGTTTTTCGTGGCTGAACAAGTTGTCACGGAATAATGGCGGATTTCGTCCGTCACTAAATACCGTCACTGAAATAGACATTAAATTCTGCTCACCAACCCAAATCATTTTGAGCAAATATCTCATCTACCACCTTCTCTACGAGTATCCTGCCAGTTGAATACATCTACCAGCTCTATCCAACCATGTTGATGCGAGACTAGCTTAGAGGTAAGAAATTTATTATTTCTTAATTAAAATTTAACTAAAATTTATTTAATTTGAGATTCCGAATTACTAATTAAGTAATTAATATAAACTTCTTATTTCATTCTTTATTAGCCTCTTCTATTTATTTTATGATTAATTTATTAACAAAAATGAACATACGTGTGCTTGGCTGATGTAGATGCTAAAATGAAAGTGAGACCATGTTTAATTAATATTATTGTACTTGTACTTCGTGTTTTTTGCTCCTTTTTAAATATGTAGGAAAATTTCAAAGAAATTTAATTAAGAACTATAATAAAATTAAACGTTGTTGGTTTTTGTTTTTTTATATTAATTGTAATATAAATAATTGAAATTGTTGATCTACTATTATTATATTGTTCATAAGAAAAATTTGATAAAATTAAACATTGTTGGTTATTGTTTATTAAATGAAGAGAAATAATTGAAGTTGTTCATCTACTATTAAAATATTGTTCATAGGAAAGTAGTCATGAGCATATGAAACTCCTTAAACTAATTTAGTTTACTATGTGAGGTGAAGAAATAATATATAATATATATTGTTTTATATGTTCAGATGATTCCAAAAATGAGCAGTAATAGGTCTTAGATGTATGAAAGGCTCAGAAATCGAGGGTTTCTAAATGAAGACTTCAAAAAAGGAGTTAATGAGTTTATTCAGAAGGCGGTAAACTTATATCCAAGTGGAGTGATTGCATGTCCGTGTAGAAAGTGCAAGAACAGAAAATTGTTGACTTGGGATATTGTTAAACAACATCTATTTGAAAAAGGGTTTGTTGAAGACTACTATGTATGGGGAGCGCACGGAGAGACATATAATTCAAATGGGCTGGTTTATTTGGATGAAGGTAGCTCTTCCCGTCATAATACATCTGAAGTTCCATATGACCCATATAAATCAATGTTTGAAGATGCTGTTAGGAATGAATTTCCTATCGGTACACCTGATGATATGCATGTGGACAATGAGGAGCCTAATCCAATGACGAAGAGCATGTATGAAATGCTTGCTGCGACAAGTCAACCATGTTTTGATGGTTGTCCAATGCCGGAGTTGAGTGCCATGACTGAATTGTTGAACTTAAAGACTGAGATGAACTTATCAGAGGCTGCCACTGACAGAATTGCTCAACTTGTGAACAGGTTTTTCCCAACACATATCTCCAATCAGCCCATCCAGAATTTCAAGAAAATAAAAAGGAAACTCAAACTATTAGGAATGACCCATCAATCTATTGATTGTTGTCCAAAAGGGTGCATGATCTATTGGAAAAGCAGACAGTGAACTAATCAAGTGCAAATTTTGCTCTGGTGCAAGGTATGAGGTCAATAATCAGTCAAGTAAACCAATCCCGCTTTCCAGGATGGAGTATTTTCCGATTACTCCAAGACTACAGAGGCTTTATGCCTCAAATACAACTGCTGGGGATATGAGATGGCATAAAAGTCACCATAGAGAAGAAGGAGTGATGCGACATCCATCAGATGGGAAGGCATGGATTCATTTTGACAATCTTTACCCATCTTTTGCCGAGGACCCTAGAAATGTTAGACTCGGTCTATGCTCAGATGGGTTTCAACCATTCGGACAATTTGGACAGAAGTATTCATGTTGGCCTATTATCGTGACACCATACAACCTGCCTCCAGGTATATGTATGAAAAAAGAATTCCTGTTCTTATCCATATTGATTCCAGGACCAAAGAATCCTACAAATAGGATAGATGTTTATTTACAACCTTTGATAGAAGAGTTAAAGCAATTATGGGAGGTTGGGACTGTAACGTATGATGCACTTTCAAAGGAGCACTTTAATATGCGAGCTTCTTTGCTTTGGACAATTAGTGATTTTCCAGCATATGCCATGCTCTCTGGATGGAGTATGAAGGGGAAATTTGCATGTCCGTGTTGTACTGAATTTACAGAAGCATTCTGGTTACCCCGCAGCAAGAAACATAGTTGGTTTGATAACCACCGAAAGTTCCTAGCAGAAGATCATCCATTTCGATGGGACACCGAGAACTTCACTAAGGGTAAAATAGTCATGTATGGCCCTCCATTATATAGAGATGGTTTATATTGTTATGGTGAGATGGATGCCCTAATGTCTGTGACCGAATTAGGCAGTTTGGAACACAACAAAGTGGTTGGAAAGGATATTGGGTGGAAGAAACGTAGTATCTTTTGAGATCTCCCATATTGGAAGGATTTGCTTCTATGCCACAATCTTGATGTAATGCACATAGAGAAGAATTTCTTTGAGAACATATTTTACACAATTCTGGGTGTGCCAGGGAAGTCAAAGGACCATACACGAGGGAGAATGGATATGGAACAGATTTGTCATAGACCAACTATGGAGATGGACCGTGATGGAAAATATCCCAAGGCTCCTTTCACGCTTTCAAACAAGCAAAGAGAAGTTTTGTGCAGTTGGGTTGATTCACTTAAGTTCCCCGATGGATTTGCATCTCGATTAGGGCGTTGTGTAGAAATGGAGAACCTTAAGGTATTCGGTATGAAAAGTCACGATTGTCACGTTTTTATGCAACGTCTACTTCCAATTGCATTGAGAGAAATGCTACCTGCTTGTATTTGGGAGGCAATTACTGAGATTAGTTTATTCTTTCGTGAGTTAACAAGAAAGACTGCACGAGTTTCTGTCATTGAAAAGCTAAAGGATGATATTCCTATCATTTTATGTAAATTGGAGAAGATTTTTCCACCCTCTTTTTTTGACCCCACGGAGCATCTTCCCATACATTTGCCGGACGAAGTTTTGCTAGGAGGACCACCGCAATATCGATGGATGTATTGCTTCGAAAAGTTAGTGTTTATTTTTTTTATTGCATAATATAGTATTGTGTTATTGATACTCTTAATCTTAATTGTTCATATTTAACCAGTTTTTTAGGGTCAGTGTTAAAGAAAAAGATCGGCAACAAGGCTAGAGTTGAAGCCTCAATTAGAGAGGGTTATTTGCTAAGTGAAATGGGTACATTTGCGAGCTACTACTTCCCGGAGGAAGTCACCACAAAAGCACGTGGTGTCCCGAGATTTGATGACGGTTTTATGATTAATGATGATGTCGCTGCTTCCATTTTTGCACAAAAGGCAAAAGCAATTGGTGCAAGCAAACGTCGATACATGGACCAAAACGAATCCAATGCAGTGCATTCCTATGTACTACAAAATTTCCTAGAGATCGACTCATTCCGAGAGTAAGCCATAATTAACCAAATTCATGATTTCTTTAACTCAAATTATAGCAATTCTAGTCTAATACTGTAGCCATTTTGTTGCAGATTGTTCACGAATGCAACCGGATTAACAACCTCCGATGAACTTCAATTTCAAGCACAATTTCCGCTCTGGTTTTATCACTATGTGAGAGTTTAAAGTTTAGAATTTATTGTATTTAGTTAATAGACAAAATTTTGTTTTGGAAATATAGTTCTCGCTAACATTTATTAAACATATGTATTTACTTTAGGTGCGTAATGACACTATAGATCACCCACGATGGATTCGAGCTTTAGCTGGATTTCCTGCTCCATATGTGACGACATACCAAACACTTCATATAAATGGTTACAAGTTCAACACTATTGCACGATTTGAAGGGAGGGTGACATGTAATTGTGGGGTTATGGTCAAGTGCACAAGTTATGATGGTTCAGGGCTTGACTACTATGGTTTAATACATGAAATAATTCAGCTAGAATATCAAGATTATAAGATACTCGTCTTCAGGTGTGAATGGTTTGAACCTTCAAGTAGAGGCACACGATGCCATCCATTATACAACATAGTGGATGTGAACACACAACATCAACTTCGTACTTCAGACTGCTATATTTTAGCATCACAGGCGGATCAAGTTGTGTATGTGCCATATCCTAGTACAAAGAAACGAGTCAATAGATGGGTTTCTGTTATTCAGTGCATGCCCCGGGCTTTTGTGGAGAGAGATTTGGAAGAAGATTCGACACATGAAGATGAAGACTTTCAAGCGTTTCAAGAAGACGAGTCCAGGGATTCATTCCAAATAGAGGTGGATGAACAACCATTTCCAATTTCAGGTCAACAACACATCGATGACCGTGATGATCATTCAGTTGCATTCAATGCTCCGGAGAATATGGATGTTACATTAGATGGAGCATATGACATCAAGCAAGCTGATAGTGAAAATGACAGTGATCACGAAGAAAATATTAATTGCAATAATTGAGGTTTAGTACCTTGTCCCGCCTATTTATATCATGTGTTGTGTGAATTGTGTGTTTTGCATGTCACTGCTTATATATGGAGTATTGTTATAAAATTATTCCGGTCAGGTATAACTGATCGCAGCCACCATCTTATCACCAAATTTCAGCAAAAAATTGAATCAGGAAGGCCGTGAAATAGATTATACGTGGATAAAAACACAATTTTTTTAAAAAATTTTAAAATATAAATCACTTCAAAATGAGGTGGCTGAACGGCATTCCTTTCTGATATACTTGACAGGAATATTTGTGTAATAGATAATTATTTATTGTATATTTAGGTCTGGATACTGATAAAAAGAGGTTTGGATACTTTTGAAAAGGGGCGGCTGTTTATAAATTTTGGCAGATAAAGGCATCCCTCCAATTTTTAGCCAAATTAATTTGACATTTCAATTCCCCCCAAAAATTTGACGGAAAACTCCCCCACTTCTAAAAAGCCACCAAATACGAACACTACTCTCAAAACCCTTATCACCTCACCTCATTACACATACTCCGTATATAAGTCAACTCTGTCTTCCGGCCTTCAGCCTCATCATCTCACAGATTCACGGTTCATAGCAGCAGCCTCATCTCATCCCAACAGCATCATATCTCAATCGAACCAGCAGTCCTTCACTTCCTCCTAGAGGTATCTACTTTACCAAAAACCTTTATTTGTAGGGTTTATCAAGTTTGGCAAAATCTTTTTTGATAAATAAGTCTCAATGAAAATTACTTTTAGTCATGGGTATCTTATAGCCTAGAGCTTTATTGTCTTGAAGGTTGAACTCGATATCTTGGTTTGGCAATGTTATCAAATCAAAAGTGAAATGAAATATTTCCATTTGGCTTAAAGGCCACACTAATATAAAAAATCAAGTTTTGGCCACGGTTGATGTAAAATGAAAAATCTGAAAAATTCTTAATATTGTTTCAAGTAATGTTTGTTCCATCCGTGGTTAGACAGAGTACAGTGTCATTAGGTCATTGGATGAACCAATGAATCACTACATCACATTTCTAAAAGCAGACTCCATCTCTGTTCTAAACATTAAAACAATTTATTAGATGTAAATTGTATTTGTTCCATTAACTATTCATGTCATTCAGCTTTTATTCGTGTAACCAGTTGCTCCGTTTTGTAATTAGCATTGAGACTTATTTATTTCAAGGATGCCATTTTGTATCTGTTTTGAGTTACAGTTAGAAAGTGAAAGATCTTGTTTGCAAGTAAAAAATATTAGTTGCTTTGTAAACTTATGTAATGAGTACAAAGTGTTTGTAAAAATGTTACAATGAGAATTATGTTATTTTGTAGGTTTTACTAGTATAACCTGCTCACTAAAGATTTTATGGTTTGGTAAAACATGTATTCTTTTGTTTATAATCTGTTAAACATGACATTTCCCAGTCCTTTACTTATCATTAATTTGTTTTCTTAAATTCTACAACTGGGAGCACTAATCGTTTGAAGATATTATGTATTGTATTTTGTAATCAATAACATTATTTTTTTTGCGGGTTTTAGAATATGATTCCTATTAGAGGTCAAGGTGTCACCGGGATGAACAAGAAAGCAGACCGCTTTTCGCAAGAGACATCATCAGGTAGTTCGGGTCGCTCAACATCCTCTGCACCCTCCACTTTACCTAGGAACAATACTACTCTCCACTCAACACTATCCCCTACCCTTTAAAGACCATCTCTACCCTTCACTATTCCAGGCAGAAACTCTACTCCCTACTCAACACCGAAGATTAGCCACTCAAAAAAGCATCAACCCTTGTCTAGTAAGGGCGGAAATATTACCCCCCAAGCAGGGCAGACACGACAACCTTCCCAACCACCCCCGTCCCAATATCATATACCTCGGGTTCCTAGCCCAAATATCACACCAGTTACTAAGCGGCAACCCACCATTTCATCAACTCAAGGCCCTAATAAAGACCATACTTTGCTCTTCAATCAAGAGAGCCCGTCAACAACAACGAGCAGCAATGAACTAGAAGATAGTGACCCAACAACTCACTCCAATGGAGAAGATGAGCTAGCTGAATGGAATCCTGATGCGTACAAAGACCTCGAGTGGGGTGAAGAACCTTTGGACCACTTCAGATCTTTAGCTATAGCAAAATTTGAAAGACCCAATGTTGGGTTAAATGCTTCTAAAGTGTGAGTTATATATAAAATGGTACTAAATTATACATTCTATCTTCTGAAATGTTATTAAGGAATTAATGATAATAACTCAAAATGTTAATTTCATTGCAGACTTGTTAATATTGTTTCAAACAAAACAAGTTTGCGATTTCAAACAATTGCCTCAAGACAGATAAGATACAATCTGCATCCGGCTGGGCAACAATGGAAGTGGGTACCCCAGAAGACAAAGGATTTATATTGGGATCAATTCCAGGTTTGATCATTTGAGTTATAACCATATTTTTTCCTTTCAAATATCAATTACAGATCTATTCTTTATGCTTTTAATTCTAAGCTTTATTCAAGTAATTGAAGTTTAAGTTGTCTTTAACTTTAAAAAGCTGTAACTAATTGTCTTTGACATATAAGATTTGCAAGTTTTCTGGATTATTTATTTTTATAATGATAAATAAAAGTCCATAAAGGTATGCAATTTATCATTACATGCATATCATTTTGATACTAATTTATTAACTATTGTTATATAAATACTGTATAAGTAAAAGTAAAAGTAACTTGTACTTTTAAACTCTCAATTTTGAGTACTAATATAATTATCTTTGACATATAGGATTTAGTAAACTGGGATATATCCAAGTTTAATGGTGAAGACATCAGAAAGGGTTACGAAAATTATCTTAAGCAACGTGCTTATTCGAATATAATGTCTAAAATCAGGTGAGTACAATAAGTACCATTTCGTTTTATATTTCAATTTAACTTCTATAAAAAGTGTATATTTTAAATTTTCATGTAACACTTTTGAATATTCAAGGGAGCGTCGGCCTTTAACTGTGAATGACTTCACTTGGGGAGTTGTGGAAGAGTTTCGTGGGTCTGCGACATTTCAAAGATTGTCCGAGTCTGGGAAAAAGAATCGGATTGCCGGTGGAGATAGATGCAAACAGTACGGAGGGTCTCGTTCTGTGGCGGATTTGGCTGAACAAGAGGTTTATTTCTAGAATTTATAATCTGTTTTTTTCTTCTTGTAGTTTCTTCAATGAATTCAAATTCTACTATTATTTTTGTAGTCAAGTGTTTCAGGAGAGGAAGTTAACCCTCTCAAAATCTGTGTAACTTATCATCCAAGAAAGAGAAAGAATGGAGAAGTAATTGACTACGGCTCACAATCAGAAGTTATGGTGTGTTATTGTTTCTCTACTCTAAGTTATTTTGATCTGCTGAGTATATTTTGAATTTTCAAAATTATTCCTGAAGTTATTTTCTCTCTGCTGCTTTCACCTAATTATAACATGTGCTTTGTTTTGTATTGCAAGCATCCCCCATGATTTGGGATTGTAATTCTCTTCTATATTATGAAATGCAATTTTCCAGAAGCTCAAGTCTTTATTCTGTGTGTTTGGATTAAATTGTTGGTGTTTTCAGAGATCTGCAAGTATGAACTGAGCTGTTTTACTATCAACACTTATATTGCTTGAAACTGTTTTTACAGAACCTCAAGTTTTTATGTTGTTTATGGTTCTGAGCATGTTTCTAGTTCTTATGTTGTTTATGGTTTTTGAGCATGTTTTTTTATGGATCATGAAGCTACAAGTTATTCTTGATTTTGAAATCTCATTTTGCAGAAAATCAAGTTCCTATTCTTTGCATTTGGGATTACTTTTTGCTGTTTGAAGGAAACTTCTAGTATGAACTGAAGTGTTTTACTATTAGCACTTATATTGCTTAAAACAAAGCTAAATTCCTTGTGTCATTTGAAGTTTTTGAGCATGTTTTTATAGTAATTAAATCAATCCACGAGTTATTTTGAATTTTGAAATTTGATGTTTTAGAAGTTCAAATCCTTAGAAAAGCTCCTACTATGAGCGGAACTGTTTTACTATTAATACTTGTGTATTGCTTAATACTTATATTCCCTCTTTATATGCATCGAATTGTATTAATCTTTTTATCAAATTGCTTAAATGTTATAAGAGTTTGTTTGCTGAAAAATATATTTTTGGTCCACAGGAGGCTATTTTTGAGTTGTCTGATGAATTTAATGAGAACATTCAACAAGCCAAACAATCTGAAACTGAAAATGGGGGCTCCAAGAATGCATCTAAAGCTGCAGTTGCTGAATTGAATTCCAAGTATTTGGAAATTGCTGGGGGTAAAAACAAAAAAGTATTTGGATTAGGAAAGTATGCAAAAGCTTTCCTTCAAAAAATGGAATCAAAATACCGAAAAGTTTCAGCATCTTCACAGCGTGCACGTGAATTTTGTGTCTATTGGGATGAACACATGCGGAAGTGGTTATCTTCACAAGGCGAGGAATGCCCACCGGTAATGCCACTCGTGGATGAAAGCTTGCTAGATGAAGATCCTTGTTCACAGCCAAAAACTTTTGAGCAAACATGGCTTCCATTTCTGAAAACACTTGGAATGGATGCACCAAGTTTTTTCCAGTTTACTCCATCATCCTCTCCACATTCTCAAAGCACTTAGTATTTGTTATTTCCAATTAGTATTTCTGGATTGTATATCCAAGTAGTATCCATATTAAGAATTTGCTTGTATTTCTGGATTGTAGTATGGCTTTACTTATGGTACTCACAATGACTATGAATGTTGGTTGTTAAAGTATGTTTACTATAAAAGTTAAGTTTTTTGGCTACATATCCATATATATTTAATTATATGCACTTTGTACTTTATATTGTGATACAATCACATACGTATGGAGTACTCTGTTATTTTTTAAAAAAATTAATGGCATATAAATATAAAACTGGAGTCTGGAGCAAACTAATATCTTATTTTTATAAATATAATTAATTTAGTGACGATATTTAATGATGGAATATCTGTCACGATTAACAACGACGGAATCCGTAGCCGCAGAATTCAGCCTTTGATTTGCGACGGAAGCGAAATTCTGTCACTAAGGCATTTAGCCGCGCGATTTCTGTGGCAGAATTTTCGTCTCTAATCTGCGTCGCTAATGTTGTTAATGACGGATTTTTTGACAAACTTTCTGCCACTAAAAAACGAAAATTCTTGTACTGTTTCTTTCATGTCTCCATGGAGGATTCTGTAGGGGTTACCCTTCAGCCCTTGCTTCTTAAGGCACCTCTCCAGCCTCTTGGGCTTAAACCACACCCAATCCAACAATCTCCATACCAGGAAACCGGCCGCCGGAATAATACTCGCCAGAATGCTGTAAACCATAATATTATTGGATGATGACTCCATTATTGTTTGCAATTTATTTGTACGGAAAATGAATCCGGCGTTTGTTGGTTTTATAGTACGTGGAATTCGTGACATCAGGCATGATGCATGCATGGATTATTACTTAATTACAAAGTAGTACGGAGTATTTTGAATTGGACTCTTGTACGTGTTTTGTTTTATCTACTTTGGTTTATGAATGAAATGAGTCAAACTAAAACATAGAGTAGTTTCTTTCTAAAATATAAGAACCAACTAGTTTAAAGTATTTGTAAAAGAGCTTTTTATGTGTAGTTTGACCAAAATATCCTCAAAGGGTTGGAGCATTGCTGCCCCCAGTCATCAGACTGTCGACAGCTGTCAGACCGTCGCATGTATTTTTCTAGAAATTTTCTTGCGAGCTGCTAGAAACTCTGACGTTGTCACTCAAGATTTGCGCTATCATCGGAGTATGTTGCATGCTGCCACCATGGGTTGATCCATCACCAATGGACTGACGTGATTAGGCAAGGAAACTGGGGGCAATTAATTAGATTAATCAATTGATCAAATTAAAGATAAAGTGGAATTATTAATCTTATTAGGGATAACTCAACCCATGATCCGATTTTTAGAAAAAGACTAGCGTTTGAGAAAAAAATCAAAAAAAGTTTTTGGTTTTTTAAAAAGAGTAGTATCTTTGATCGGTTTTCTCTCTCTAGGGTTGCCTCACGCAACTCCTTGTAGTGTCCGCCTTCGCTAATTCCGAAGGGCGTGCATGTGGATTGGTTGGATTGTAGCGGCAATTAGTTTGGACGGATTGGTGGTTTAAGGCGGTGACAGGTTGGGTTATTGGTGGATACGGGAGGTGGTTGGTGTATTTATTCTGGCGTCAGGTGAGCGGAGTGGTAGTGCGCATCGATCGATTCCAGAGACGCAGCAAAGAGACGGAGCAGGCGTGCGCATGGAAGCTGTTGTCAGTAGCTATAAGAAGATGGTAACCGGTGAAGATGTGGAGGAGCTTGATCTTTATGATATCAGGGTCGAGGATGCTCCGGTGGAGTCAGGGCCTAAAGGTTTCCCGGTGATCGGGCAGGTTTTAACCGGCATGAAGGTAAAATTTTCGGATCTCAAAGAGATAATGTTGTCTTTGTGGAGACCGGGGAAGAGGATGACGGTTAAGGAAATCGAGGGAAAAAAGGTATTTGTTTACTTTTTCTCATCATTTTGATATGATGAGAAATCCTACAAGGGCCATGGCAATTTGAGGGAGGGCCATGGCAATTTGATATTATCAAATTGATATTATCAACATATTACAAAATACGTTTCTATAATTACAAAAAATTCTTAAGTACTTCATCCGTTCCTAAATAAATGCAACGGTCAACATTTCACACTTGCCGAGACACAACTTTGACCATTAATATATATAATTTTGTATTGGTAAAAAAATTAAAAAAATTAGATTTTGAAAATTTACAATGAGACAAATTTTGAATAGTGTAAATTTTCATATGTTGCATTTATTTAAGAACGGAGGTAGTATATATTATGTATAAATACGTTTAATATATAGAAAATATGTTGATATTTTAAACTTTGGCCCATGCAAAGTAAAATTTTCAAGAACCAGCCCCTTTAACTATAAACTCAAAGTGTCGTGACAGACAACTTGTCTGTTGGGAACAGACAAGTGTACAAAAAGGTGTACACATTTTGTGTACACCACTCATTTTTGCGTACTTAATTTAAAATATAATTAATGGAAATCATTATTGTGCGTGCTTATAGTCTATAGTCTATACTTTAGACATATTATTAAGCATGTACTACATCTGTCCCTTTTTAATTTGCCAACTTTGACTTTACCAATCAAAGATGATAAACTTAGATCCATTATATTAACTACTATATTTATGTAAATTTTAATAAATTTATACTTTAATGATAGTATTTTCAACAAAGAACATTTTCATATAATTTTCTTATTATCAACATTACCATTTATAAATATATAATCGGTCAAAGTTGAACAACTTTGACTTGAAAACTTGTATTTGGAAAACTAAAAAGGGACGGAGAGAGTACGTTAAATGGTTAGTTTGCGGCGTACATTTCTGTCTTATGATACTAACTAGGATTGGGCAAATCGGTTTAGGGTCCGGTTTTCTTCGGTTTCAGTTCGGTCTCGGTTTATTCGGGTTGAGAGAATTTGTATACCAAACTAAAACCATTTATATTTTGGCTTGGTTTCGGTTCGATTTCGGTTCGGTTCCGTTTGATATTCGGTTTTCCAAAGCGAAAAGTCTTAGGTTTAATTTAGTTCGATTTGATTCGATTTCTTATGTTTATTATAATATACTACGTATTTTAGAATTAGAAAATGAAAGTAATAGTCCATCTCATATTCTTTTATTGATAATTTAAATAAAATGTAAAAGGAAATAAACGATAGAAAAACAAATAATAAAATATTATGAATTAAAACTTCTAACATCTTTTCGATCACTAGAAAAAGATTCACTTCTCACAAAAAATAAGATTATAGTTGATTAGCATTTATAATACGGAGTATCACATAAAATATTAAAAAAAACTAAATGAGTCGGCGGTACAAATGTTGTAGCATTCACAAATTTATTCAAACAAATCATGTAAAAAATATGAATGCAATCTGCTATTGTTATCGCCAAACTTAACAAATACAAATATGTCGTATTAGCTAACTTTGTCATAATGAATGTATGAAATGTGTAAAAGATAAAATGATATATGTTAAATATGTATTTTTCATATCTAAATTATTTATTTATATCCTAAAAATGAAGAGTGAAGATAAATACAAAGTGTGTGTGTGTGTAGGGTGCAGTTCTGGGAAGAACACTTCTTAACGTGAGAAATGAGAACACTAAAAAACGACGCACTTTATGATTCATGAAAATGCACATTTATAGTTAAAGTAATGCAAAATTCTAATGTGCACTTTTACGTGTAAACTTTTGCACAGTTGAAATGCACATTTTCCAATTTTTTACATGCACATTTCTGTTTTACTTGATGCACAATGTCAAAATCCAAAGCTCCAGAATCATTCTCATTTCTCACATTAAGAAGTTGTTGGTCCAAAATAGGACGCTCGTAGGCTTTCAAGAAAGCTACGTAAGAACACTCAAGCAAGAATTAGAAAGTAAGAACCAATTGGAAAGTTGCTAGAGAAGTTTAGTTGCCAGAAATAGCTTGTAGAAAATCGCTTCCTCTAATCTGAATTACAACATGCCTTTTTATAGACGTATACAAATCGTAACTTCTATTCACTAATAATGACTAATTAATTACAACATTAATACAAAGTTAAATACATAATTAAACAACGCATTAATTGTTTGACCGTTACTTTTCCTGGCTGGCAGGTCGGTCAGTCGGACTGGCAGGCTCCCCGTTGGGGTGGTAGGCAGGCTCCAGGTTGTGGACCTGGATCCACGGGTCCAAGTTCGGGGCTTGGGCCGATTAGGCTCTCGGCCTAGTCCCATAACTCCATCACGAGTCCCTCACTCCCTTAGTCGAGTAGTAGACTCGGCTAAGAGGGAGTAGTCCAAGTCAGGTGCCCTTCTCCGAGACGGGAAGATCTCTGCCCTTGTCCATGTTGGGGAGATGCCTCATTAAAAACCTTCATTAGGAAAAACCCCAATGGGAAGAAATCTTAATGAAGGGAAAAAGAGTACACCCGATGCCCCCAAGATGAAGCAAAGCATGAAATCTTCAGCCTTTATTGCAATGGTCACCATCAGCAAAGAGGATGGCTGAATCGTTCTTCTCATCGGGCTCGGACTCATCATGCTCGTCTTCGTTCAGTCGTACCTACACATAAAAGCAATAAGTGTAGAATAGAGCATCTGACCCGGTGCTGAACCATGGCTCAATGAGTAAGTGAATCAGACTCACTACTCGAAAAGAGTGACATCAAGTTCCCAAGTTAGGCCTCAACCCAGTCTCTGAAAGGAAGATTGAATCCACGAGTAAGTGACTCGGAGTCACCATTCGAATGGATAATCCAACCCCAGTGAACTAAAGTACATCAACCTTTTCGGGAAATGTGAATGTCAATTAAGTGAAAAAAATTGCTCGGAAGAGCGTGGCTCTAGGCCCCTAACAAGAGTTTAACTCGCCACCCGAGGTTAGTAGTTCGAACCCGCAAGTAAGAACTTTTGAACGGGTGACTCGTCCCCCGAGGTCGGAGTGTGATGCACTAGGTAGAGGTAAGAGCACACAAGAACTCGTATGAAGTCAAGAGTGTGTGATATTAACATTTATATTGAAGCTTATTAATTGTCACACCCATATGACGTGACCCGGTGGCGCGAGTGTGTGTGCTCGACCAGTGTACGAGTGTGTGTGCTCGTCCGGCGTACTTGAGTGATTAAATTTCATAAGTCCGTTGTTCAATGTTAAAATTACACACGCTT